TGTGCATCGCATCCGAAACAAAAACCTTACCTTCTGACCTTCTAAATATATACATTACAGAAGCGAATAACAATCATAATCATACACTTTAACTATTTTATGAAAAAAAAGAAATATTTTCAATATTCTTATTTCAACGTGTCTCTCTCTCTCTCTCGATGTCGAGGAAATCGTTTATAAATTTACTTGTAGTAGAATAAAAATGGAAATACCAATTCATGAGAGATAGCGGTATTAATAGTAGATGAAAGTATAACTATTAAATCGTTTTGCTAGCTGATGAAACTATCTTTGCTCTTTCTTCGGCGATACAAAAAACGATACAAACGATTGGTTGGATACACGTCGATCACAGAGTATTCAATATAATTGGTGGTTTACGATTTTTGATTATCAAATAAATTAATATGCCAAAAATACATTTTTTTTTAAATTGATTATATTCAAATTTCATTAATTCTTTGTACAATTTAAACATAAGCAGTTACAGTAATACGTGTAAGTTTCATAATATTTTAGTTTTTTAACGACAAAGAAATTTTAACTTTTTTTAATGTCATAAATGAAATAGAATGATGAAATAGAATTTTTCATTAATTTAATCATGATGAACATGAATATTACAGTAAACAGGTCATTTTTTTGTATTGTGTGAATCGATTATTGTCATTGCAGTTTTTAGAACTGTAGAATCAGAATTAAGAATTATGTATGTTACTTATCTAAATAGATCTTACTTTCCTGAATTTTTTCCAGGTTTCTTAGATTCCCAGACTGTCAGATTTACTAATTTTTTTTTTATACAAATTCATATTAATAAAGTATTGAATAACTTTGAAGCTAGCATTCTTCTGTTCTACAAAAATAAAAATATGTTTGCCATTACATTGTAATTAAAAAAGGCGGAAATGCCTCCTGTGTGAAAAAAGGTATTAAAAGAATAAATTATCGGATTACTGTATTGGTCACTTTTTATAAACTAAAAAAAATATTAATTTCTAAAAAAATATGACATGTATGTTGGAACTTGTTTATTATCATATTCATAATCAGCATGTATAAATTAACAAATTAATCATCTTTTTATATAAAACACCTTGTTGATTAATATAATTATGTCTATATTTATATATTAGATATATTAGATGTAGTAATAATGGTGAGTAGTAATAAAATCATTTCATAAGTTTTTTCTGCAATCTTCTTTTTCCTTCTTTTAAGCAAAAATGTGCGATGTAATGTAATTATTCGGTAATTATTCGGAAGTACTCGTAAAATCCGGAAAAACCAGAGTTTTTCTTGTTACAAATAAATAACAAAGAATACTTCGCGATGACGATCGTGTTAAATATATCGGCCGCCCACTTTGCAGAATGGTTAATTCCATTCTCTCGCGCAGCCGAGAATTGTTTTCGATTCAAACGCAATGGATTCGGATCCGAATGCGATTTACAGATTAATTAGATTAAATTAAATTCAGAAGACATGTTTAAACAACACTGCTAAGTGTGGAGCAAATATCGGGTCGCAATTCCCGGTATCCGTTAGGTGATACCGGCGTTTTTAACGTGACAATTTTTTCATCACTTATTAAATCTTACTAGGAAGCTTTTCAGATACACAAATTTGCGCAAATACGCGAGGCAAGAATTGTGATTGCGATTGCGCCAAATGTGTTTCGCGAACTAGCAGGCATACTCATCGCAATTGTCACAAAGCGAAGTATGTCAAATGCACTTGGGGACGCGCACCGAGCAAATGGTCGATCGTCGGTTGCGCCTGTCTTCATTTCATGATATGAGAAAAAAGAGCCGATCGATTTAAAGGCAGGCGACCCATCGTGCCCCATTCCAAATTAAGAGCCGTTCGTTTATTTCTGGTCTCAGAAGCCCATATATCTCGTCTACTATTTATCATTGCGTCTCTGCGAATCAGCCGGCGTGCTCGTGATCGCCGATGGCAGAGGCTTCGGCGGCCGCCTATCTGCGAGTTAAAACAACTCCGCCGGCGCGCAAAAGTGTCGTTGATCTTTGTTTTGAAGTCGGATAAGAGCAGAAACTGCGCGATGCGGTTTTTTTTTTTTTACGATATTGAACGAAATCCCAATCGGACGATCGCTTGTTAGTATCCTCGCTTGGATCCTCGAAATCCTATCCCTAGCCGGAAGATCGAGCTACGGAAGGATCGATGTATGAAAGAAAAAAAATTTCATGTTAATTATCATATCGCATTTGTTGCACAGCAACGTGATATGTTTGTGTCATCGTCATAAATAGACCGTCAGAGAAATGTCATTTTTTCGCGCGGATTTCGTGCGACACCAAGAGTTGAAATTCGAGAGAGACAACAATGGCGCTCAATATATCTCTTTCGGTTTTTCTTGATTACTGACGGTTAAATTTTTATTTGCGTATATATATATATATATACATCTCTTTGTAAAACTTTTATTATACACTTTCGCATGTGTTTTGTTTCATTTTATCTTCGTAAATTTTATTTATTGAACGATATATCGCGATGAATCGGAAATAGAATTCTGAATGATAAAAATGCCACGCGTTTCATTGAGAAAAAACATTCGTACAACCACGCGCGACGTTTTTTGTTGATATTTATGATTTAGTTGACATGTCGCAATAAATAATTCACAAGGAGATTAACGCTCTTCAAATCCGATGCCTGTTTGCGACCTACAAGAAGTCTAGACGATAGCTGTTTGAGCGGGGCGAAGGTGGATCGTGTGCGTCAAAACAATTTTTAGGATCGTCTTGATAAAGGAGGGGGTGAGGATCAATGGATGGTTTATAGATAAACCAGTGTTAGTAAGTCAGCAGTAACGAAATTTATGTATGTACATATACATAAAATCGAAATCGCATATAACGATGACGCAGGAATAAAATCGAACTGTAACTTAGCAAAGTTCACATCGCTCTTTTAATCTTTTACAATTTAAATTTTTTACTGCTTCGTTAAGCAGATTCTCTGTAACAAATGTGAAACAATCCTTTAAAAATAGATTCATTAACTAAAATTTTATTCTGATGTGAAAAATTGCAATTAATATCTTTTCTCTTGAAAGTCTCTTTAAAGGGACATTTTAAACAATCATATGCAATCATATGATTATTTTTCACAATGACATAGAAATTAGATTGAATTTAAAAAATTATACGATGTACATTATTCAAAATTACTAAATATTATAGAAGTCACATTAAAAACATTTTTTTAATGAAAGAATATGTATTTGTCGTAGTTAGAATTGGCTAAACTAGTTTTATTTAAATTGAATTAAATTTAATCACCTATATTAATTTAATATCATCAAATTAACACAGTTACCTTAAAAACTTTTTGAATAAAATACTAAAAATTATCTTAAACTGAATTTTATTTAAAATTAACTAAGTTTGGTTAAAAATTAATAAAATAATTTTTTAATAATTTTATTAAATTATTAAAATTGAATCTTTATTATTGAACTTCTATTTAAGTAATTAATTATTAATTAATTAATTAATTAATATTAATTAATAGTTAAACTATTAATAATTAACTAATTAGTTATTACTCAACTTTGGTCATGATATAATAATATTCGTGGTCTTACATATTTATTTAAATTGGTTATTTAATTAGCATATTCTAATACAATGTTACATTATTATCATATCGTTTTCAAAACTCAAAAAATTATGTAATAAGGATTAAGTAATCAGCCTACATAATTTCAAAATTTAAATTAATTATAGGAAATTTTTCGTAATATTTGATATTTTTCCAAACTTGTGTAAAGAATTCGAATTTATATTTGAAACATTAAAAATAGAATTAGATTAAATTCCTTTCGAAAAAGATTAACCGAATCTTAGAAATTTATTCTTCAAAAATTGTACATATTTTATTTATCCATAATCCAAGAAATATATTGGAAAACAGTAAATTTTTACTTTATATTAGTCGTATTCTATTTTTCTTATCACACATTTTAAATCTGTTTTATTTAAAATTATAGCATCACGTGACTTGATCTATTTGTATCTTCAGCGTTTTATTTACACTTCGTCATGAATCATCAAATGATTAAGAATTAATCTCGCAACACATTCCGTCCAACAATGTATAAAGCGGGTCGCTTAGCATCATCGTATAATATTTTTCGTTTCAAATATTTTTTATCCGTTTCAAATATGCTAATAAAAAATAACGATAATCACAAATAGCATAGTATCATTACATAGCATAAACCATGCTGTAGAACTAAGTAGCCCATATTTTGAAATTTCTCTTTTAAAAATGCTCGTGATAAAATTTATAAGTCTTCTGATTTGAGCTATGAGCCACTTTTTATAGACACTTTCGACGATAAAAAAAAAGAATTCAGAATATGGGCCATAATCTTTAACATATGACGTTACGCACGTATCGTGTATAATTTTTCTACGTATATATATATATATATATCTCAATAAGCGCTTATTTCACTATGCCCTGTTAGGATATTAATAGCTCCGGGTATACCCCGGTATGCCCCGTTTGTTTTCTCGCGGCCAAAGCAAGATGCATACAATCGATAAAGAATTCCGCATTGGAACCGCATTGGTCTACGATATGAAGCGAGAAACTGCGGAAACTTACGTTACACCATTCACTGTTATGCGAGCGCCGATGACGAAACGACTCGTCGAAATCTTTCGTGAACGACGGGAAAAATGGCAATGCCGCGAAACCAGCCGCTTTTCAAACACGACGGACACGGGATGGAGTGGGTATACGGTTCAATTGCTTGAATATCGACATTTGCCATTAGTTTCGCTGTTTTTAGATTAAAAAGGAAACAAAGCGGGTTTATTAAATTTAAAAATTTTTTACATTTGTTATTTATATAAAAAAAGGGGGGGGAGAGAAAGAAGAAAATAGTTCATCAAATTTCATTGGTAATTTACAATCTTTTCAACTGCAGTTCACGAGTTCATAAA